TTTTTCTCTTCCATTTATAAATTAATTTATTGAATCTGAACTACAGATACTTTTAGTTTGTTTTGCTTCGTTGGCAAATGTATGCTATGAGCTTCGTAAATATTAATGGAAAAGCAATTTATATGCATGCTTACTTCTTGTTTTTATTACGATAGACATCAATTAACAATAGCTAGAACTATGTTGCTAATTTTGTCGTTTTATGTCAATAAAAAAGAAATGCTGGTCTAATTTTAGTTCGTTAGACATAGCTTACGCATTTTATTTAACGGAAATAAAAAACAATTTCTTTGTTTTATTTTAGCATCCTAGGAATAATAACAAAATTATGTATTTCATTTTAGAATCAACGCAAATGAAACTACATTTACGAAGGCTGCTATTTATATTTCTGGTCTCGGGAACAGTAAGTGTTGCTAGGAAACCGCATACGATTCCAATTGAAAGTTTGGTATTTTTAACCATAACTTCATCAGAACGCTTTGCTATTGTAGCTTGATTTGTGTTGTTTACAGTAAATTGAACGGTACATGACCATTTGTTTGCCAGAAGTCATCGGAGAAATTCGAAAAAAGCAGAAGAGGCTAATCATTCTTCATCATGAAAATGGGAGCTCTCACCCATCGGCTCAATGAAGGGAATTTTTGACGGGACAGAACATGGAAGTGATGGGTCATCCTCCGTAAAGCCCTGATTTGGCACCCCAATGACTTTGTTCTATTGCCGCACATCAAAAATAATTTACGTGGCCAGAGATTTGCAACACCCGAAGAAGTGGTTGATGCATTCAAAATGCATGTTTTGAAGTTACCTCAATCGGAGTGGATGGTTGGTTGACTTCTAACGGCACAAAACCTTGAAGGTTATTATGCGCCAGACGAATGGTTAATAAAATCCAAAATGCACAAACAAAATATCAGATTATTTGTTGAAATGAACCTCTAATGCTGATTAAGGCGTGGAGAAATAAATGACTTTGAGAAATGCTCTAGCAACAGGGTAGACCAGAATAAAAGGAAAAAAACTTCAAATCATATGGTAAAAAGAGATGTCGATTAAAAATCTTATGAGGCTGATGTGAGGGCTTCTTCCAATTGAGATCTGTTAAGTTAACATTCGTAGAGTTAAAATGATATTCACGTTTCTGACTAAAAGCAGGATAGCAAGTTAAAATGTGATTGTCTGGAACGGGAATGTTGCAAGTGCCACAAATAGGCTCATTATCTCCTTTCAAGAGATACTGATGTGTCAGTCTGCAGTGACCAATTCGTAGGCGAGTCAGCAGTACATCCTCCTTTGATTCCCTCTCTATTCCCAATACTCCAAATTGCGTCTTAATTTGTTCAGTATCTGGTATTCCCAGAGTTCTTGCTACCTGGACAAGATCTTTGTTCTAATGTAATTCCGTATGTCTGTAAAAGGGACATTATTTTCAGAGGTAATATCAGCAGATTTTGCTGCGACATCGGCGAGTTCATTGTCTTTGGTGCCAGCATGTCCAGGCACCCAGCTGTACACAATAGAATAATATGCGTTTCTCAAATGCAGGAGTGCCTTTAAAGTTTCTAAGACCAAAGTGTGGCTAGTATTTGTATTTATTGATTCAAGAGCACTCAGAGATTCAGAGTAGCTGATGAACTTTCTGCTATTCTGCTTAGAGATAAAGATTAAGGAATCAAAATGGCAAACATTTCTGCTGTAAAGACACATGCAGCCTTATGAACTTTACTACTCTTGATTTCTTTAGCACAAACAAAAGCTGCCCCGACATGATCATGATTCTTTGAGCTATCAGTAAAAATTGCTTTATAGTTAGAATGACGGCTGCTATGCTCTAGGAAAATTTGTTGATATTGGACATCATTGGTACTGCTCTTCTCCAAAAATGTTAAGTAGGTGAATATTCACTTCTTGCCAGAGAGCAATACAGAAAAAGTTAAATCTTTAGGGATGCAGATCTTTTAGGTTGAATTCTTCAATCAGTGAGTGAATGCAGAGATCAAAAGGCGGGATATATGAAGGACGGGCTTAGTAAAGACGCCAGTACTGATAACATGTCGTGAGTTGGACAGGATGTTTGCCCTTAACATTATTTTATAATAAAGATCAATGGACAACTGCTTACGTCTGAATTCCACAGATGGTTCAAATCAGATGACATATAAACTTTGGACTGGAGATGTTCTGAAAGCTCCACAGCAAATCTGTAGCGCTTCATGGTGGACTGGATCCAATTTCAGTAGCACAGAAGGTCTTGCTGATCCATAGATAATACAGCCATAGTCAAGTTTGGAACAGATTAAAGCTCTATAAATGCGAAGCATAGAACAATGTTCTGCTCCCCATTAGGTATTGGCCAGGACTTACAGTATGTTGAAAGCTTTAGCATATTTTTTTTTAGGTTTAAGATATGCGGAAGGAAAGTGAGCTTTCTGTCAAATATAACTCCCTAAGAATTTTGCTTCTGGCTCAACGCGGATCAAAGAGCTGTCAAGATGCAGCTTTGTATCAGGATGTAGATTTCTTTTGTGACAGAAATGCACGTAGACGGTCTTCTGGCTAGAAAATTAAATCCATTGTCATTGGACACTTTATGATTCTGTTTAGAGCAATTTGTATTTGTCTATCCATGCATCTCATATCTTGACCGTGACAATAGATCTTCAAATCATCAACATACAGGGAACCATGCACTGTAGGAGGAAGTTATCTTAAAATGGAATTAATTTTCATGCTGAAAAGAGTGACACTGAGCACTGAACTTTGGGGTACACTTTCTTGTTGTACAAATACTTCAGAAAGCAACTAACCAATCTTAACTTGGAAAGTGCGGTCCTTCAGAAAGTTTTAAATGAAGATGGGTAAATTACCTCGCAACCCAGTGCTGTAAAGGTCATGAAGAGTTCCATGCCGCCAAGTTCTATCGTACGCCTTTTCCATGTCAAAGAAGATTGAAACAACCTAATTTCTTTTCACAAATGCATTACGTACTGCGGTTTCTAAAAACAGGGCATTATCAAATGAAAATGAAGATCTACCCTTACGGAAACCACTTTGGTAAGGCGTTACGCAATGATTAATCTCCAGATAGTAGGTGAGACGGTGATTTACCATTTTTCCATGATCTTGCAAAGGCAGCTAATGATCGCGATGGGGCGATAATTTAAATGATTTTTCGGGTCCTTGCCGAATTTTCTATAAGGATTACAAAAACCCTGCACCAGGCAATTGGAAAAATTTGTTCCTTCCATATCTTATTATAAAAAGTGAGAAGGACCACTAGAGAGATTCATAGGGCAGATGCTTTATTATCAAATAACGTATGCCATCAGGACCAGGGCAGGTCCTATCAGGGCGAGATATTACACTTCCTAATTCAGACATGGTGAGATCTTTATTATAAGAGTCTGCATTAGGATGGGAAAAATCGATTTGAATTCTTTCCAAGCGCAACTTTGTGGACATAAACTCTTTTGAGTATTTGCTACTCCCAGACACAGCTGCAAATGTATCACCTAAAGCATCGGCTATTTCTTCTGTAGTGCTTGCCAACTTTGCATCTTTTTTCTAGAACAGAAAAGGAATGATCATTATAGTGTTCAGAGTCTTTGCGGACTCTTTCCCAAACCTGTTTGTTAGACATTGAGAAGGTAATAGTGGACACGTAGGCTGTTCATGATTTTCTCTGACTTTGCCGCCTCACTTTTCTTGCATTCGCCTTAGCTTTTTTAAAGGCCAAAAGATTTGCCAACGTTAGATATCGGTGAAAGATACGCCAAGGTTTCTTTTGCTCTCTCTCTCTCGAAATTTCATGACAATCACTGTTCCACCAGGGTTTAGGAAACTTTGGGAACTTTGTCGAGGAATTCGGAATACAGAGTTCAGGTGCTTGCACAATAGTATCAGAGATCATTTTTACTGCTGCATTAATATCCGCATCGTTAACCATTTCTTCAGTCAACACAACACAAGAAGCAAAAAGATCCCAATCGGCTCTATCGTAAAGTAAGCGTGGTTGCCTTGAGATCGCCGACTTTGCTGTAATATTTACAATCATTTGGAAATGGTCACTGTTGTAGAGATTCTCCCCTACACTGAAAGGGCAAAAAGGTGGTACAGATGGAAAACAAAAAATCAGATTAATTGCATGAAATGTTCTAGTCGGCTGATGAAGGTAGATGCATTCTCCATTATTACGGAGACGAATAGAACGATTTTCCATTAATTGTTCGATCTGCCGGCCCCTTGAATTAGTAATCCTACTTCCCCATAAGGTAATATGTGTATTGAAGTCACCTAAAAGCAAAAACGTTTCTGGGAGCTGCTCTATTAATCTGTCCAACTCTCGCTGATCAATTTGCTCATGTAAGGGTAAATAAATCGTGAAAAAATTAAGCTGAATCGCCATAGCTGGAAGGGAGGTCGTCAAAGGGGAGCAGTGTATGGGTGATTGTGAAAGGCGATAAGGCCCACACCACCACAGGCACGATCCCCAAATGGGTTGTCCTTTCTTACTGTGGTATATTTCCGTATCTTAGCATGTCTACTTGGTTTTAAAAAGGTGTTCTGAAGAGCAAAACAGGCAGGTTGATAGATGTTAATTAAATCCTTGATACTATCCAGGTTTTTTACGGAAACACCGGCAGTTCCACGAAATAAATGTACCCATTATGGATGCTTGTTTTGGCGGTGTTTGTTTTTTTTTTTTTTTTTTTTTTGCTTTTCGAGGCAAAAGGTGTTTCGAAAGGGATAACCCTTTTTTAACATCCCTTTCGTCTGAGTTGTCTATGCGTCCTGAACTCATGCTTGCAACAGAACTTTGGCTTGGGGGACCTGGGTTTTTGCTTTTTTCTCCTTGTTAACATATGTATGCTTGTTCTGTTGGACATCCAGTTTTACTTTGGACGCAGTCAAGGGCGTATTACTATCAAAATCAGGTTTTTTTCCTGATTTTTGGTTTCTAGGATCTTCTGCCATTTCTAGTTCTTTTTTCTGTGCGGTTATTGTGGTTTGCATTGATATTGATATGAATGATTTTGTTGAAGATGCATAAGATTTATTAGATCTTGACTGATTTGATTAGATAGAACAAGTCGTTTGGCCTGTGCAAATGATATCTTTTGTATAACTTTAATGTTTTGAATTTGTTTTTCTATCTGCCATTTCGGACAGGATCTTGAAAAAGCTGGGTGCTCGCCTTTACAATTTATACATAAGGGGGCAGCAGAGCAGCCTTCACTGGCATGGCCTACGATGGAACATCGAGCACACGTGAGGCTACCGCGACAAGAGGTCTTTCCATGTCCAAAGCGCTGACATTGAAAGCAACGCATTGGATTCGGTATATACGGCCTGACTGAAGAGTTTAGGTATCCAGCTTTGATGTTTTTAGTCAGGTTAGGAGACTTGAGAGTAAGTATGACATGCTTAGTGGGAATAAATTGACCGTCTTTCCGTATTTTGATCCTACGAGCACCACACACGTTTTGATCTGCCAACTCTTTAACGAATTCCTCTTCTGAGACTAAGTCTATGTGATAGACTACTCCTCGGGATGAGTTCAGAGTGATATGTGGCTTAACTTCAACGTTTGCTTGTCCTAATTTAGTTGGTTTCAAAAGACTATTAGACTGCTTTCCGGACACAGTTTCTATCAAAAGGTCTCCATACCGAAGTCTTTTAATATTTTTCAGTTCTCCTACAGAAGACAAAAGATGTTTGTTTATTAAAAAGGGTGACATATTTTTTCAATTCTTCAAAGCTGGTTATAATTAAGAAACGTGGACAAAATACATCTGATACAGTGCTTTCTATGTCGCTTCTTAGTCTTTTGGTCACAATCGGAGTATCGGGTACATTGTTGGAGCAGGAAGGTATCATAGCATTCATATTTAAATGGAGAAAGATTCGGGTCCGACCGCCCCACCAACCATGGAGCCCAACAAGGGGACGCAGATATCTACGCCAGGGCTAGCCGGACCTATACGTAAACTGAAGTTCCACAGTCAGCTTTCCCAAAAGCTCCCGAGAGCTTTTGGGAAGCCACTGACACAAGGACTAGTGACCAGCCGATTGACACCCATGAGGACGACAAGGTACCTCCCGTTTAACTGAAGCAGAGGCCAAAGCAGTGCATTGGGACAGTACCTCGCCCATCAACTACCAGGACCCTCCTTTCCAGTGACACGGGTCTCCACGCACTGCAAACACGTGGGCTGTTTTCTCGCCACTTGAAGAATTATGGATAAGGCTGTTCTAGTTCCTTATGACGAGCCCTCAGAAGCCCCTTGTGCCCCCCTTTCTCAAGCGCCTTGTGGTTTCCAACCACAAGGGAGAAGGAAAACGAGAAAAGTTGCAGTTAAGAGGAGAGATCATTGGGGCTCCAGGATTGTGACACCCGATCACCAAGACGGTAATCTCCTGAAGGATCTTCACCTGCTATACTTTAGCCGGGCATGTTGTAACGGCCTTCACGTCTAGGGTGGGCCTTCCTTTCCGCCCAGTGACACCCCCCGCCACGTTGAGGCAGCATAGCAGGACTTGGGGGAGGGCAATCGGAGTGGAAAAAGTGCTTAGAAAATTGTTTCAAATGCATGAAAAAGTGTATTGATCCTACATGAAGAATATTTTGAAAACCAATAAAACCAATTTCCATCATAAGCGTTTGTTGTTTTTCATTATTAAGCCAGAAATATAAATAGCAACCCTCTTACTGTTTATTTTTAATTAAAACAAAAATGGGATGATTGCTTAACAAATAGAAATTAATTCTATTGCTTGATTTTTTATCGAAAAATTTATGTTTTGCATTTTGCGTTATCGAAAAAAACATATTTTTTACTATACAAACATTGCACTGTACCAATACTTTACTAAATAAAACTATTGTATGCCGGGGATGAGGGAAATTCCCTAAAATGAGCAGAAAACACATTAGGATTAGACACGAAATAAACTGCAGTAATCTGGCTGCGAGAATGTCCGGCAATAATTTTTTGAATATCCGGATGGGCTGTGGTCCACTTTGTCAGCGTATTGGAAGTTTGTACTATGTATGAAAGTAGTTGTTATTACTCTCTACGCAGATTTAGACTACATAGCATTACTTAACGATCAGTTTTATGTATTATGTTTATCAGTTTTACTTTTAGTTTTCATATATTACGTATGCATTTTTAAGTGTTATGTATGCAGGCATTAGGGATTAGCTTTCTGTATTTCTGTACTCAGTATCATGTTAGTTTTTCACTTTAATATTCAGTTTTGTACTTATGTATGTATTATCCTGTCTGCAAGTACTACGAAAGAAAATGTAGGCGCATGGTTCAATTTGTAAAACAACTACAGTTTAAGTTTCCGCAAAGAACTAAATTATGCAGGAATTTGTTATTTTAGTGATAACAGGTACACAATCTTTTAAATATTCTTACATAAGAGTCAGGCACATGGAAAGTAATCTGCGTTAAATTATGTTTGGGCGCTAGGATTTCTTTAATCATTTTTTAATCTCTCTCTTTATTTTTTTAAAGTTTACTATGTGCAATAATTTAATAGGTTACATCTTTCTTCCATGCAGGACCAACGACTTTACAAAAGCCCCATAAATATATGACAGTTATGTCAGGATTAGCACCCGCATGTAGACATTTAGCAAATCCAGAAAATCCACGGCAGTTAAATTTTCAGGCAGAGTCCGCCTACCTTTACTTTATCTAATACAAGTTTCTGTTTTATTCTGACAGCGATTCTTAATAATCTTTTGATTGCTTCTTTGCTTAATTTTAAGTAGTTCCTAACAGGATACTCTTTCCCCGTGCAACAACTTCCAAGCTTTTAGACTTTAGGAGGCTCTTAGCCGTCTATTCGGCTGCGTTCCCCGAGCAGGGTGGAGCAGAGAGTAGATGGTTTCTGCCAGGAAGATATCACACTGTGAGGCTAAGTGGTCAGTGGTCTTCCTTGGTGGCGCTCACTCACTCCCTCTCTACACAGAGAAATAAAGCCTCTTGCAGCAGATTTTTCCTGAACGTTGGTTTATATTTTTGCTGCACCTAAAGCTCGATTTATTGATCATGTGTCCTTCAACCTTAAATTAAAAATGAACAATTTATAATTATCTTCTTTCCATAATTATTTAAGGTTCGTATATCATTTCTAGGAATCAGTAGATTTATTTTCGGAACCTTCACTGTATAACTAAAAAAATCATGGATGTTTTAGATAAAATATTAAAAGAGACTATCTTATATAACAGATCTGAGATGGTAGTTTTTCCTCACTTATTAAAACTTGTATTGATAAATGTAATTTCTAAGAATTTTGAGACCGCGAAGGTTATTTTACCCTTAACACTGTGTTATTTTTCTGTAATTTGGGAACTTTTTTTATATTTTTTAAGAGTATTACATAAATAATTTACTTACCTATACAGATGAAGATAGAGTGAAATTTGATACATAAAATAACTGATGATTTAAATTTTAAAAACATCATTTATAGTTTTAATAATGTTAAAACATTTTTGTATTAAAACCATGAAACAGCATAAATGCATGGGAGTAATATGTCACTTGTACTGAATAAGGAAAGTAAGAAGTAAGTTCTTGTTTTAAATATATGTAATGTTTTTCTATAGACTTTTTTTTTCTTTCACCCAAAATAGAAATTTTATTGATATAAATACAATTTTAATTTTAAAGTAAAGTAAAAGAAGAGGAACAAACAAATTTTTAAAGTAAAAGAATGTAACTCAAATAAATTTTTAACTAAAATGGTCATTTGAATGTTGATTTGAATAACTGTTTAAATGCTGCAAACAAATTAAGTAAAACTTAAGACATGTATTTATGCTTTCAATATATGATAGTTTGGGAATTACATATATCAGTTATAATTTCAAATACATAATCTACATTTTGAAGAAATGTTTCTAAAAAAATTCATGAGAAACTAAGAAAGGCATGCAATTCCAATATTAATTGTTTAATATACTTTTTCTCAATGCTCTAAGTGAACAAACTATAAATAAGCTTAATTAATTACTATTTATATAAAAAATGGTACTTATACCTAAAAGTAGAAACCCAAGATCTTTTAAAGCTTATTCCTGAAGTACTTATTTAAAAAAGCTTTTGTTTTGCAGCAGTTTCAAACTAAGAGGTGATATTGCTATTTTCGATTCCGTGTTTCATGAGAGTACTATTTATATTTTAAAATGATAATTCGAATCTCTTATATGTTGAAGTAAATATATGTCTGAGAAGCGTAAAGCGAAACTTTGGGTATTTTTAACCTTCGTTAATTAAAAAAAAAAATTCGAACACCTTACGTTGCGAAATGCCCTTTCGTTTCCGAAATGTGTCGATGGGTAGCTATCTGTTTTTTAGGATAAAAAAGAATACTGTTAAAATTCGAATTTAAAAATTATAACATAAATTGTAGGATAATCTCAAGGTCAAAGGAGAAACAACTCATTCGATGTCAAATGTCTTACAGCTGTTTCAGGCTATCGTGCCACTGCACTGCACTGTGAAGAAGTTTTTTGTTGAAATGTGCCAGCTTAACTCCGTGAGTAATGGACAAAGCACAACTTTTGGAACTTACACAGACACTACCAACATTTTAAACAATAAACCACTTAGCATTTCATACACAGAACCTTTACCCAAATGGAATTGAAGTCAGATAGCGGTAATATCTAAAGTAATAAGTCATTCGATTTCTTAACATACATTGAACAATAGATATGAAACGCTCTTTCATATCACTGTTTTATAACATTGGATCAGAGCCGTTGTTCACAAGAAATGAACCGGTTCCTATTTAAAGACTCACCACTTACCAATAATAGCCCTCATAAAGAAGATCCGGAACGATATGGGAATCAAAAGCGGTTAGCGTTGACGGAATGAAGAGCGCAAGAAAGTCATGAGAACCGTAGGATTGGGAAATTGACTCAATCAAACGTTAAATCTCTGAACTGATTTGTTTCAAATGTGGATTTGAGATTTCCTGAAAGCTCCTTTCCACACACACAGAACTAACAATAAAATTCTAGAATAAAAGTTTTTCAAGATATTGGAAAATGATAAGAATTAAAAATACTTTTAACAAAGGAAGATAATCCTTCTTTTCTCCTCTAAAATGGGAAGTGTGCACGCTTCGAACTTCCTCCGGCTCTTTTTTCACCAATCAGGAGGTGGCTTGCTCAGTAAAGTGAATTAGTTCGTGACCGAATAACAGAGCTCTATCGGTTCATTGAATATGTTCCGCAGCGGAGTTCGTTTTGAAACATATCTGATAAAATCTTGAGCCATTAAAAAAGATAGATACTGAGTTATAATTATTAACAAATCAAAGTGCGTTCTCTGACATGTGTGCACCTAAAGGTCGTGTGTCTGCCCATATTACCCCATATTACCGAATATAAAGCCTTTCACATTCCATTAAGTTACAAAATATTTATCTATATATTTAAAATGACTTACCTTTCACACAAATTTCTATAATGTCCAATTGGCTCCAATGGTATTATGGAATGAGTTTTCCTCTTTACACCTCTCAGGTTCGTTGCCATACCATCAGAAGATATTCTCCTTTATTTTGCTTCTTTCATAATCTGAAGTTAGTTTTATTTATATGTAAATGCAGAGTTGATATGTAAAGAAGAATTTAATATTTGTTTCGATCAAATAAAGGTTTCCTGAAAAAAAAAATAAATAAAAGGTACAATAATTGCAATATT